CAAACAGATAAGGACCTTGGCATAAAGGCCGAGAAAACTTTGGCAGCAATGCAAACAAACTCTGGCAGCAATCCAGCCTGCCAGGTTCGTTTCTCTTTAGTCCAAGCGTTGACTTCTGCAAGAAGGGCATGGCACAAGCAGTCTCTTTTATAGTCTGGGAGAGGAGCTTAATGACCATTAGCTGAGCGTAATTACCTCCTGTAATTACGTAGTTGTTCTTGACGCCAAGTAGCCCTTCGACAGCGTGCATCCCTGAACAACTCACAGGTGGTTTCTGGATTGCTCTCTCTTGTCTCCTCCCCTCTGAGCCAAGGCTCAGGTGCCACCTGGTGGCCAACCAGTCTCTCTGCGCCCTGCTCGGAGTCGGAACCCTGTCCAGGGTCCTCCACATCCTCCAGAGCCGACTCATCGGGCCCCTCGCTGTCGGAGTCTGGTGGCAGCTCCAACGGCTCCTGCCGGGCCACAACAGATAACAAAGAACATTCTAAAAATATGGGATGAAGGGGTTGCTAAAAAAACAGGGCTGGGGAATTCTGGGAGTTGAAGTCCACAAATCGTCAAATTGCCAAGTTTGGAGACCTCTGCTAAAGAGAATGGCAGATAACATTCTGATATATCAGCCCTTGTATTTGGTTTTTCTCTCCAACATAAAGAGGGAAGCCCATTTCCAAAAACAAAAAAAACAAAATCTGGGAACTCCTAAGCCCATAACTGAACTCAAAATCAGTTACAAAAATGCAATAACAGATCTGAATGATCACCATTGCTCTCTTGGCAAATTCTGGTGAGATAAATGTGTCCTAAGAACAGCAATCATGTTTGATATGCAAAGAGAAAAAGAGAACATGGGGCATGCCGTTTCAGCTTTAATTACCCCGGTGCCTTTTATATCTCATGAAAGGGAATGCTGAATCTGTCAAAAACCAGCAGAACTTCCCCTGAAATTAATAAATAAACAACGCCTTCTCTTTAGATTTAGAGCCATGCAATATTGTAAAATTCTAAAAAAAACACCACTGAATACAGAAAAATGGTTACAAAACAACAACCGTTAACTGTTAACTAAAAACACAAAAGCATTAGAAGCCCAGTAACTGACAATCAATCTACAGAAGCATTTTACCAGATTACAACCCTGGAGATATAAAGGGGCACCAAAAATGTTTGTTTAAAATACTCTTCATTTTGTTTGAAAATACACAATAGCCAAGAAAGAAAAAAAAAAAAAGCATCTTGGTGCAAGTGTAAACAACTAAGACTCAGCCTAAGGGGAAAACTTTTGCAAAAGGAATGGGGGAAAGGTTTTGTGCACAAGCCAAATAAAAATAATACAACACGCTTTTAGGTGTACACCGAAGTCTCTACGTAATTGAATTTTATCAGAGACCCGGAACATTTACACTTCGTAATCTTGGAGAAGGTGCACTGTCCGTCTCACTAAACACAGCCTGGCTCCTGGGAAGACTTAAAAAACAGCTCAAACAAATCCGTTGCTGGCTGTTTAGTGCTAGGGCCCAGTCTGGGGAGTGAGACTGAATTGGAGGCAGAGAGCTTAAGGACTTCTGACTTTGCAACTCAAGAGCCAGAGGACTCTTCTACAGATGAAATCCTGAAAGAGCAGAACTTACTGGAAAATAACCCTGCTCTGTTCTGGAGCAGTAATAGATAATCTCTTACTGGATACAGAAGCAACAGTCCAAGTCAGCTGATGGAGGAGCTTACTGGACCAGATACTCTGCAGTGGAAGACTGACATAGTAGAACAAAGAGTTTTAATGGGAGTCTCCAAAATGAAGAGTAAAAGGTAAAGGTGAAAGTTCCCTTTCCACATATGTACTAGTCGTTCCCGACTCTAGGGAGCAGTGCTCATCTCCGTTTCAAAGTCAAAGAGCCAGGGCTGTCCAAAGACGTCTCTGTGGTCATGTGCCCAGCATGACTAAATGCCGAAGACGCACGGAACGCTGTTACCTTCCCACCAAAGGTGGTCCCTATTTTTCTATTTGCATTTTTTTGTGCTTTCGAACTGCTAGGTTGGCAGAAGCTGGGACAAGTAACCGGAGCTCACTCCGTTATGCAGTGCTAGGGATTTGAACCGCCAAATGCTGACCTTTCTGATCGACAAGCTCAGCNTAAGAGAACATGCCAAATAAAGGGGACTTTTTGACCATGTTGTAATAATTGCTGTAAATGGATTGCAACACTCCTAGAATACAGCTTTGGGCATTGGTAGGAAATTGAGAAAAATGGAATTACAGATTCTATTGTCTCCCTCCTCCATCTTATTTTTTTTTCTTTCTTTCACTGGAACTAAGATGGAGAAATGCCTATGCTCTAGTTTCACTCACACCTTTCTTTCAGCCAGTCAAGCATAATCATACTAAATTGTCTTCCAGCTATCTAGAGGGAATGGGATTTCGAAATTGAGTTTCCAATTGCCAGAACAGGGACAAATGTCTGTCATAGAAAAAAAAAGAGAGTTCTTCCAACCAAGTTAAGCCATTACATTTAAGAGCTATTCTTCGATGAAATCAAATCGTGGGGGGGACAAAAAAATGGTAGAATTAAATGTGAAAGAGTATTTTGTGTGATTTGAAAGTATTTCCATAAACAATCTTCCTAAACCTGTTCAATCATTTCTATTTATAGGAATTTCTCTGGGTTTTCAATAAAAGGAATCTAAAAAGCTTTCTCGCTGATCCACTTTTGCATGTGGAGAAAGGTGGATGATCGCAGCTACCTCTGAAAACCAACTCAGCCCCTTTGGTTTTAATCTCAGTTTATTTATTTAATAGCACATATTTGAAAATCAGGAATAAAGGTGAATTATAAAATAGGCCATCAAATGCAGCTCAAATGAAAATAGTGCAATAAAAGACAAATCTAGAAATCGAAACAAATGTTTATATGCATTTATTTTAAGACTGACTCATCACTCTGTAGTTATCAGTTCTCAAATTGATATGCCATAAAAAAAGGAACAAAATTATTGTATTAAACCAATTAAAAGCGGAAGTTTAAATTGACATGTTAAAATCAATGGAAGATAGCAAAAGCAAAATAATTATCATAATAAATAAATTGTAAACAGAGAGTTTAAATTTAGAATTTCAACAACCTCAAGTACTAAGTAATTAAAATTGATCAAGAAAATAGAAATATTAATAACAAATATATAAATATTTCTTCCTGAAAATGTATTTCATAGCTAGAGCTGGGGACAACTACTAAAATTCCACCCTCTGAGTAGTGATCCATCAAATCTTAGATTATGGGGGCACTTGGAAAAGATCCTATGATGTAGTAACAATTCAGGTAGCAACAAGTGGAAAAGGCCTACCACCTTCCAATACCTTTACCACAAAACATTAATTTTATTGATAGAACCACTTTGAACTAGACATAGAAACAATTAGACCACTGTTGTATATTATACATTATGAAATACCGACATAATACTGATAATACACAGTTACAGTTAGTATCCTCCCAAACTTTCAAGAATAGCCTCAAATGTTAAGCATAAGGGTACCAAATGGAAAATTACCAGTTCTAGGATAATTGAAACTAGTAAACACAGTGCAAACAACATTTTCAGATTTATAATTCAAGACCTATTAAAGCCTTACCTTCACAACGTGGGACAGTTGAACTCCATACAACATTTCCATCTTGCAGCACACAAGTTATAGTTTCTGAGCCTTGAGTTTTCACAAAGCCATCATCGCAGTGAAAAGAAACTGAACTTCCCAGAAGGAATCTGTCTCCAAAGCGTCTTCCATTGATGGGGATTCCTGGGTCATGGCACTCATTTTGACCAAATGCTAATTTTTACAAGAAAAGACATGGGCAATTCAAATTAATAGATGGATTATTATTACAATATATTATGTTCATACAAGCTCATTCTATCACCGATTTCTCATTGGTTTTTCCATGTTTGGATATGATTTTGATCAACTATAATGACAATTCTGAGACACTTAATACTGCCAATGATAAAATATGATAAATCTGAACCAGATTGAAGCTGCTAGTTGCACTGAGAGGAAATTGACAGTACTAAAATTTGGAGAAGTTAAAAAAATGTATCAATTGTTCTGACAATGGGAATGGATAAATTAATGAATATTTCAGCATCTCCAGTGCATAAATTGTACACAATTATATATGTTTTCTAGAAAAAAAATTCAATGAATGCACAATTATATTTCTGAAGATTATTGTCCTGCTAATTCTGTAGATTTATTCATTAACAACAAAAAATATAAGGGGGAAAGTACTTAAATCATCTAAACGGAAATACAGTACTAAATGTAGACATGATCAGCAATATGAATTCAAATGACTTGCATCATTCAGCCAGCCTCAAGGAATATCAATTCCTAATGACTTAATACTCTGTGAAGCATTTATATTAGGTCTCCAAAATTAAGTCTTAGAAGTACTTACTTTGGTTCTATGAAGCCTAGCTTATTTAGTTTGAAAATAAAATGAGTACTTACTAGTATACGTTATATTGAATCCCCTTCCAGTAGTTGAATGATCTGATTGAAATTCAAGACGTACTATGTGTCCATTGCTAGCAATTTGAGAAGGGACATCATTGCCCGAAAAAGTACCAAGAGCTGGTAGGTCAGAAAACCCATCATCTTTCACTGTCAAATAATCAAACTGAGGCTCTACATCAAAGTCATTAAAAATAAGATGTATCCTGCTCCCTGGTTCAGAAATAATCAGCCATACACAATTCATGTTGTTTCCATACTCTTCAGGGTAGTTTGGTGAAAGAATAATTCCTGAAGGTGTTGTGAAGTTGAAGAAACATGAGACTGCCAAAGGGGGGGAAAAACAAATATCATCAATCCATACGATGAAAAGGCAAAGCTGTTTAGAGCCCAACTTATCATTACGCAAATGAGTCTCAAGATATATCCATACTGTTTAGAAGTCTAAGAAATAGAAGAGTTGGTATTAGCCAGCCAGCAGTCAACTCTCTTGCCCTATTGAGGAGATGTGTGGCATATGAATTTAATAAATAAATAAATGAATGAATGAATGAATGAATGAATGAATGAATGAATGAATGAATGAATGAATGAATGAATNGCCTGCAGTACTGCACTCTAACCACTGCGCCACCTCTTGTTTGGTGATAGACAAAATATGAAACTTGTATTGCCATTTTTGGAATACTGTTTATGTAGGGAGAATGTATATCGTCCATACACTAATAAACACAGTTTCTAATTCAAACAAAACAGTGTATAGAATCTTCTTTCCTTCCAATGCGAGGCATTGAGTATATTATATATAGTAAAATCCCTTCCTTTCTTCCTCCTTCCATCCATCCACCTGCTCACAGACTCTGCCTACAGACTTAGAAATAGCAATTTCTAAGAGAGGACCACTTAGAAAAGAAAGGCCCGCAGAATACACAGGAAATTGTATGTTCCAGTCCTCAAACTTCAATTCACTACAAATGGCAATATTCTTACAGAAAGTATGGTAAGTATATTATGTATATTTCTTCCCATTCATTTTAGTAAAACTGTTTCAGTCATTTATATGTCAAAGATTTTTTTCCCCCCATGCCAGTGGGACTTTGAGATGCCACCGTCTCAGGATTGATCCTGCTGAAGAATTGATCTGCACCTCATCAGAGACCATGATTCTTAAATTAATGTGCCACTCAATCTTATCAATGAAATGGATGAAGCACCTCAAATTACCACCCGCAGTTCCATTTAGTAAATCAAGTGCAGTACGAAGAGGGATTATCAATACTGCTTTTCAGTCAGATGCCAAGTATTTTTTAATCAAGTGTTTCAAGAAGAGCATACAGATAGTCCTAGCTACCAACCTCCTGTTTAGCATTGTGATGGCACTGAATGAATGGTAGTTACAACCACTCTTTAAAGTTCCAGCAATTGTATCATTGCCATGGTCACCTGATTATGATTTAGGTTTTTGATAACCAGCTTGCACTTATGATGGTTGGAACCCTCTGTGGTTGCACAACCTTCCCTGCTGGTTTCCCACAAAGTCAATGGGGAAGCCAGAAGGAAAGGTTGCAAGATGTTCTGATAAGTCCACCCGCTGCCTCTCTTCACTTGTGTGGTGTCCTCCTTCTTCCCCAACCTCCCTTCACTCATATCATGCTTCCCATAGCCTTTAGTTCATGCATAACCTATGCTAGGACTTCTAGGCTCTCCCCTCCTCCCTGAAGCACCCCCAATGGCATTCCAATGCTCCTTACTTGGAACTCTGTTTTCTGGTTAACAACCTGAATGTCTTGGGTTTACAATTGCAACCTTCAGTCCCAGGATTGTCATTGCTAAGTGATGTGGTTACATGATGTTATGCTTTACGACACATTTGCTTAGCAATGGCAATCCCAGTTTCAATTGCTGAAACAAGAGGACTACCAAGAGCACTGTGTTTCTTTTTGCCACAGTGTCCAACAGACTTTTAATCAGGGCAAGTACAGATGGGAGCCCAACTTATTTTAACAAGAAACAAGTAGCTATTCAAAATTGCCTTAAATTGACCTTCAATTATGTTAGCTTTTAATGGCTGCCTTTGATTTTCATAAGAAAAGCAAAGTTCCTAACATGCACTGAGCTAGAAAATTAAAAGAGCTATCATCAGTCATTCATCTAGGTTAGTCAATTCATTCAATGTTGGTTTCACCAACTAATCAATACTGGTCAAGACTGGCTAGTAAAAAATAGCAGGATTTGGAAACGAAAATTGAAGAGACAAAAAAAAAAATGGGAACATAGTATAAAGAAAATCATTGCTTATTTCAAGTGTGATATTTGATTTTTACAATTAGGAACTAGCTGTCATGCTTCAAAAAGCTTCCAAGATGAAGAATGTTTTTTTNCCCTCTCTAAGCGGTTTACAGAGTCAGCATATCGCCCCCACAGTCTGGGTCCTCATTTCACCCACCTCGGAAGGATGGAAGGTTGAGTCAACCTTCTTCAAAGGTAACCTTAGATCAGACACAGGGTGGGGGGACTGTACCGGTTCGGACCGGTTCGGATGAACTGGTAGCTCCGACAATCAGCTGGGAGTGAACCGGTTTGCTCCAACAATCAAGTGGGCTCACCTGCCTGCCCCTGCACTTTATCTTGTCAGTTGAGTTGCGCAGCATAGCGGATTATAGCAATAGCAGTTAGACTTATATACCACTTCATAGGGCTTTCAGCCCTCTCTAAGCGGTTTACAGAGTCAGCATATCGCCCCCCACAACAATACGGGTCCTCATTTTACCCACCTCGGAAGGATGGAAGGCTGAGTCAACCTTTGAGCCGGTGAGATTTGAACAGATGAACTGCAGATAACAGTCAGCTGAAGTAGCCTGCAGTACTGCAACCTAACCACTGCGCCACCTTGGCTCTTACCCCACCTCAGCTGTTTTCCTCCCCAGCTGTAATGCGGAAGGTACACTTTCTCAAAACTGTGCATGCAGCGTTATCAGACATGTGCACGAGCACAGCGAGCGATCATTCAACCAGTTGTTAAACCGGTAGGATCCCACCCCTGGTCAGACATTCATAAAGATATTCTTCTTTCTGGGCCAATATTACAAGGAGAATCCCAAGACTTCAAAGGACAACATGGTTATCTTCTAACTTATTTTACTGGTCATATCAAACAAGTCATAAATTGTTGACCACGAAGTGAACATGAATCCGTAGTGTGATAGGGCTACAAAAATACATCAATTTATCTGAGCCTGTCTTAACAGAGTCATATTTTTTCAGATCATGAAAATCCTCTGAGAGCCATGAACCTGCCCTCTGGAACAACAGCCCCCGAGAGAGGAGAAAGCCTGCCCTTCACATGGTAAGTCTGTTCTCAAGTCTGGGATTAGGTGGAATTGCTTGTGGATTGCCTGGCAATTTGTTTTCGGCTTGTTAAGAGACTCTGAGTGTTCAATTTTTAAATGCATTCTTTGACGTTGAAATTGTAAGCCACTCAAAGTGTTTGGAGTCAGACAGATTTGTAATCTAATAAACAAACAAACAAAAAACTTGCTAACATGAAAAATCCTGTAAGGATGTATTGAAATGCAAAATGCTTAGGGTGGAAAAGGGAAATGGAGAAAACAATTGATAATTTTCAAAGAGATGCAAGGTTATTAGCCAGAATTAAGATTCTTTCATAAGCAATTCAGTTCAGTTCAGTTTATTACATTTATATGCCGCCCTTTCCCCCCGAAGGGGACTCAGGGCAGCTCACAACTCAACCAGGGAAGGGGAATACAGACAAAAAAAAATTTAAAAACAAAGCATAACA